TCGGCACGGAACGAACCTGCCGTAGGTTCATGCGGCGTTGCCTCGCCGGCGACGCTGGCAAAGGCGTTTGAGGTTGAACTCCGCATGATAGAACGACGCGGCATCACCGAGGGGCACAGTAACGCCACAGGACCCGACGGAATTCAATCTCGAACTATCGGGGTCGCGATCGGCTCAAGGTTGAATGATCGACGCACTGTCAAAAATCTTTGCGCGCGCCGACGCCGCAGGAACCTGTCGTAGATGCCTCCTTATTTATGCCCATGGACCTGCCTTCTGGAGAGAGACCCTGGGTCCAGGACCCGTCTCCACCAAGACTACTTTACCTCGTGCCAATCCTCCACGTCGTCGTCCTCTCCTCCTTCTTCTTCTCCTTCTTCTCCTTCTTCTTATTCTTCTTATTATTCTTATTCCTCTTCTTCTTCTTCTTGTTCTTCTTCTTCTTCTTCTTTTCCTCCTCCTCCTCCTCCTCGCCTTCCTCTCCCCTTGGCCTCGCCCTACTCTTCCTGCTGGTAGTGCGGGGGGGATGCTGACAGTGGAGGAGGAGGAGCCAGGAGCGAGGAACAGGAGGATGAAGAGGAGGATGAGGACGAGGACGGGAGGAGGACGAGGACGAGGACGAGGGAAGATGAGGGGGGGAGCAGGAAGGAGAACGTGCAGGATCAGGGCTAGGAGGAGTAGGATTAATTAGAAAGGGGGAGGACGAGGAGGAGGAGCAGGAGGAGGATGAGGACGAGGAGGATGAGGACGACGATGACAAGCCCTTGGGATCGAGTGATAGAGAATGGGATCTCTCTTCCGCGCAGCCCCTCCGCGACGGGCCACACTCCAGCGCGCGCGATGGAGTGAGGAGGTCAGCTGGCAGGATTGCGAGGAGTTCTCCATGAGCAAGATTGGCATCGACCGGTTGCGCATCCTGGGGTACAACGCCCATCGGCAGGCGGTGATCGCCTCTCCGAGATCGCCGAGGAACGTAGTAACTTTGACTTCATCATGTTGGCAGGGTCGCAGCAGAGAGTATATTCGGCAAAGGGTGATACCCCTCTGACCCGTATAGTGAGCGGCAAGACAGTGATGATGGGCCTTTGGGGTGCACGTGAATCACTTATGATAATTGCACTTGTGCGGTCACCATAAACCTTGGGGCGGGCCTGGACAGAACAGCGGTGAGACAAAGGTTGCCACCCTCCCAAGGAACCTGAGGTAGGTGCATAGGTATTCGCGTGGGCAGAATCAATTTAGATGTGGCCCCCATCTCGATGTATTTGCGCCCGACAACCAGACAAGGCGGGTCAGAGGGGGCAGTATTTCGGAGTCGTCCAACAGATGACGCATCGACGTCGGTCTCTCTTATCAACCATCCTCATTAGGACAACTCCCACCCTTTGCGCTGATCTCAATGACGGAACCGACGAATTTTCGAATAACCAGAGGCAGTGGCAGGATGCTGATGACGGGGTGGTGGGGCCTGGGTCGGCGGGGTTGCTTCGGGGCGGTGCGGGAATGGCAGTTCGACCAGTAATGGCTCAGCACCCCGTGCTGGCATGCAACGCTCTGTCGGGCCGCGTAGATCACGCTTGCTTCGCCCCGAAAACTCGAATAGGGTCGACTGCCTTTTTAATCCCAAACAGATGCATTATGCGATTGTGTCGACGGGGGGAGTTTTCATTCGGCTAGGCGCCAAATTTCCAGCTTTCAAAGGGGCTCCCCCGAAAGATCACCTGCCGCTGCGCTGTTGCCTGAAAGCCAAGAAACATTCAACGGAGGCTGCTCAAGCAGCGCAGAGTGGCGGCACGTGGCAGCGTGATCAGATAATGGAGGCGGCGCGGACGGGGATAGGGGCGGGGATATTTTATCACTGTAGTCCAGGAGGAGCCCAATCGAGCCCGTCCCTTGTGGCTGAAGGAGCACGCGTCGCCTGGTCAGGTTTTCGAGACACTCGAGCAGTGCCTAGTCACAGCTGGGCAGGCTTGTTTTCAGCCGCAGTGGGCGACAGATGCATATCGGCAATGCGCGACTAGACTGAGAGACTCGCCTAGGCAGAGGGTCCAGTTCAGGGCCCTTCGGTTCGGATGTTCGGGGGGAAAAGTTGGGTGGGTCGAAACCGGGCTCGCGATTTTCAGCCGCGCCTTTTTTTCAGTGGCGACGCGAGCGCGCCAGAGATCGAAGGGCGGGCTCGCGGGGGTCTCAGGGGCGAGGGTGCCCGGCCGAGGCCGCGCGAGCAGCGAGAGCCGTGGCGCGCCGTCGGTGCGGACCGAGGCGGCGAGACGGACGGCGTGCCCGCGCAGCCTTGCCGTCTTCTCGGGAGTGGATGGAGGCCCTGGGTCGTGGGCGGCGGGGGGGGGGGTCGGGATGAGTGCTTCTTAGTAAAACTGTGGGGGTTGGAGATCCGAGCGGGGGGCCCAAGTTTTTTCCTGTTCTGCGAAATGCCGATGCCCAGGAATTTGCAGAAGGCGTTTTGAACACAATGTGAGAGATGCATCAGGCGAGCCCCACGGGGAGAACGAGTCTCGACGGGGGCAGCTCCATCGGAGCTGTGGCGCGTGCTTTTTTTTTCTGAACCGCGAGCTCAAATTATGGCGGCGTTTTGGTGCTCCAGCAAAAAGATGTCTACGTATGAACCTTTTTTTCCGACTTTTACTTGAACTCGGACACTGGAAGATCGAGCAATTTGGCATCGCTCCCCTGCGCTGGCGCGCAAGCGATGGTGCTGCGATTCAAAGAGATTTGAGCTTTGGCCCAAAGTGTCGACGGATTGTCCGTGTGCTTCCCGCCCTGGGCAAATGTCATTTGGCGCCTGGATTCACGGCCGCCCCGACAGTCGATGATCGCGGCTTCTGCAGCGGCCGACGCCGAGAGGATGCCATTCTGTCAACCCTGCAGACCCGCTGGGGGCTCCGAGCTTGTAGCCAGACGCATGTGATCTGCGTGAAGGATCCCGCGAATGCGTCCGCCAGTTCGGACTGGGAATGCTGGGCGCGGCCGTGGAGGTCGATCGACAGGGAGTGATGTTTTGAGAATCCTCGTGCCGCCCAAGGGTTCTCAAGCCCAGTGAAGGAGGCGTGATTTGGGGCCCTTTATGGTTGTGAACTGTGTTGTGGTTTCGACACGGCCGGTCTCGAGGTGGAGCTATTGGCGTTGGCGAAGCGATCCCCCGGGTAGGTCCTCCGCCTCGGGATGGGGCCCCTGCGAAGCTGACTTAAGTTTGAGTAAGTGTGCGGAGGTTTGAAGTTTATTCTGGCCCCTCCAGGTTTAACGTTTTCTGGGTGTATGAATGAGATTCGATCGTCGAGGGGCCGTGTCGATGAACAACTTGAGCAATGTGGCTATCGTCATCATGCTAGCAAACATTAGCAAACATGAGTCTCTGTTTACTTCCCTAGGGGTGGGCAGCACTACATTTAGATGACTACCAAAGCAACCCTGGCAAGGTGGCCTCGAGGGAAGGGCGCTCGACTCAGTCGGATGCTCAGGCCCGCGTTTGGCCCAGCGCAGCGCGCCGACGCGCGAGGTCGTGAGGCGGGCGCAGGCGCCTCGCGTAGCTTGACGTTCCTTCGGTGCCATATGGAGCATTTCGTTGCCTTTGCAGTTCAAGCGATGCCTCATCCTCTGTCTCGGCCTCGACGCGCTCCTGAGCGGGCTCGAGTGCTTTGTGATCGCAGCAAAAGGCTGCGACGAACTGGACAAGCAACTCGCGCGGTGTTGGAGAGTCGCCGTGTGAGGAAATGCTGTGCACAGGGGTGGTGAACATCCCATCGGCCTGGCCGGCCGCGGGATTTTGAGGCGCGACGCCTTCATCCTCTGTGAATTGAGCTAGTGATTCGCCGTCTCGAGCTTGGTCGGAGGTGGGCGAAGGACCCCGCCGCCAACTCGCAAGTGTTGGTTTCGCTGTTCGGGGAAATGGAACGCCCTGCGGAGCGCGCCCCCCGGGTTCCTCCAGTTTTGTGACAGTCTTAAATGTGCGAGTGAAGTGGCGGATGAAGGTCTTCTTGGATCGCCAGCCAACAACGTAGATTTGCTACTCGACGAAGATGTCGCCGACGAGTTCTGCAATTTCGACGTTGCAGTGCTGCGCGCCAAGTCTTCTCGGTTCGGACCCCCCCCGGCTTCGAGGCCCCCCCCTGTTCCCCTTGTCGAGGGGGGGCGAAGCTGGGCGGGAGGCCCTGGGGGGCGCGCGTGCCGGGTTGTCTCGGATGGGGCCCCGTGTTTTTGCAAGTTTACATTTCGGAGGTCGCTGTTGTTGTGTCATCCCCGTGGGCACCGTGATCTCAGAAGCTTGCTCCGTGTTCTCTCGCCAGGTAACTTCTGTATCCGTTGCCGCCGGGCTTTCCATGGCCAGAAAGGGGCCGCCCGTCGCGTTCTGAGGCCCTTGCGAAGAGGGCGCTGTGAGGCAAGTGGGCCAACGACAGCGTGAACCAACAGAGCTCCGGAGCTTGGTCTGCCCGTGCTGTTCTCACCCATGCTCGACAGTCGACGATTCTTGCAGCCGTCTCTCAGGGCGTCTGCCGCGGCCGCTCGCCCCGCTCGCGCTCCGAGAGCGAGAGTCTCAGGCCAGACAGTGTCGCGGCTTCGCCAGGGTGGTTCAACTCGACCAAGAAGAGAGGCGCCGCCGCGCAAGCAGACCCAGACAAGGAGAAGGTCAGGACGGGCAAGGACAATGAAAAGGGCAAGGGCAAGGACAGCCGAGGCATCGCCAACCACGTGGCGCGCCTGGTCTTGAGCAACAGCTGGGAGCTCGCGGACGTAGCGGCAGTCGTCTACCAACGTCTATCCGTCCTCGCCGTCGCGGGGTCTGTGGCCGCCGTGATCGGAGGAGGGAAGGCCCACGAGGAGGAGTCCAAAGAGATGATGGCGGAAACCGCAAAGGCCAACGCGGCCGACCTGGAAAGCTCGAGGCCGTTCCTCCGCATATTCCTGGCGTTGAGCGTGTGCATGGCTCAGATGGGCGATCCGAAGCCGCGTGACCAGGGGCGGAAGCATTATTTCGAGCAGATGAAGCAGCTCTTCGAGGAAAGGCTGAAGGACATCGCGCTCGAAGAGATGGGCCAGACTGTGCAGTATTGGAGCTGATCGGAGCATCCCCACGAGGGCCCTTGGAACGCGAGATATCCAGGATGCTCGGCGGCGGCAGGTAGATAATATGCTCAGCAGTAGTAGATTCGCAAAGTTGATAGCCACTGGTCGCATCGACCAGAGCATAGTCAGCAATGCATTCAGCAGCCAAGTGTAGACTTACAGCCCTCCCTCCCTGTTTGCGCATCCTGTTGTCGCGCTGCCGTTTCGTACCCGAGACAGCAGCCAGGCCAAGGGGAGGGGAATAACGGAGAGGGGGGCGGGGCGCGGACGGTGGTGGTGGGGGGTGGGAATGTAACTCTTTTGTAAACCTGTGCCGGGGGTGCTGGCCCCTCGTGAGGCTTGGGTGCCCTCAATGGTCGCCAGCCAGGCCCGTGCCAGCTTGTGTGGTGGGCAACGGCCTCATACTCAGCTTGCGTTGGCTGCGCTGTTGATATTCCCAGAATCCCGAAACAAGGTTGTCACGAATCCAAGTCGGGTTGGTTACCGTTTTTTTGGTGTGGTGGATTCCGTGGGCTTTGAGCCTTGACTCTTGAGGACGACGATGGCGACGAAGCGGAGAAGGAGGAGGAGGACACGGAGGAAGAGGAGGAGGACATGGAGGAGGAGGAGTGAATGTATGTGGGTTTGATGATGAAGACGAAGGTGATGCTGATGTTGTTGACAATGCTGATGCTGATGCTGATGATGACGGTGATGATGATGCGGATGCTGATGATGATGATGGAACGTGATGATGATGCCGATTATGCTTATCATGATTATGATGGTGATGATGTTGATGATGATGATGGTGATGCTGATGATGCTGCTTGTGATGGTGGTGATGGTAGTGGTGGCGGTGGTGGTGATGATGAGTATGAGGAGGCAACGGGGAATAAACTAGTAGTAGGGGAGGGAGCAGGGACGCTGTTGCTGCTGCTGTTGCTGATGTTCATGACGATGTTGTTGATAACGGTGAGGGTGATGATGTTGATGATGATGCTGATGCTGATTATGTTGTTGATGATGATGATGATGATGATTCTGTGGTTAATGATGCTGCTGCTGATGTTAGTGGTGGTGGTGGTGGTAGTGGTGACGATGATGCCGCTGCTGCTGCTGCTCCTGATGATCATGCTGATGACGATGATGATGATGGGGGTGATGCTGATGATGATGCCAATGATGATGACGCTGATGATGATTTTGATGTTGATGATGCTGTTGGTGGTGATGCTGATGATTATGCTCATGATACTGGTGATGATGATGATGACGATGATGATGATGATGATGATGATGATGAAGCATGCATGCATGATGACGGTGGTAATGACGATGCTGATGCTGATGCTGATGCTGCCGCTGCAAGGGATGATGATGACGATGCTGATGATGTTGCTGCTCTGATGATGATGATGATGATGATGATGATGATGATGATGATGATGATGAGGGGGGATGAGGAGGATGAGGAAAGTGATGGTGATGCTGATGAATATGAGTATGCATATGCTGATGAAATTGAGAACGATGATGGTGATGATGCTGATGATGATGATGGTGATGGTGATGGTGATGGTGATGGTGATGTTGATGCTGATGATGATGATGCTGCTGATGATGATGATGATGCTGATGCTGATGATGATGCTGATGATGATGATGATGATGATGATGATGATGATGATGATGATGATGATGATGATGCTGATGATGATGATGATGATGATTATGATGATGATGATGATGATGGTGATAGTGGTGGTGGTGATGATGACGATGCGAGGGAGGAGGAGGAGGAGGAGGAGGAGGAGGAGGAGGAGGAGGAGGAGGAAGAAGAAGAGTAGGAGGAATCATCCTCCTTCCCCCTTTTCGTGCGTTGGGCATGTTCGGCATTGACCAATACAGCCTGGTGTCCCCCCACGGGGTCAATTGGTACTTCTTTCTCATCCCTTCTGTGTTTCTTCTTCGTCTTCCCGAATCGGCTGACCCATACTGCTGCGCTGGTGATACACACGCAGGGGAAGAAAATAACAATCAGAGACATACAAACGAAAAGAGCTGGACTCCATTATGTGTTGCTCCAACTTGGGGCACTGCAATTTGGATCGACAGGGACAAAGAAATTAATCAACTCATCGCACCCTTCAAGCACGCTATCCGAGCTTTCCAGACCATTGACCGTGATCATTAAAAGCCTGGACAAGGACCTTGAACATCCTAGAAGGATTGACCTTGGCCGCGGGGGTATTGTATCCACCACTGGCAGAGGTACCAAAGAACTCGATCGAATGTGAGCTGCACAAACACCTGCCCTGGCCAGGAAGTGCGCCGATGAATTTCCGCGGCCCTCCACGCTGATCACTTCTGGAAGGCCTGTTTGCCCCAATGGTCCCCGCAACAAGTTCGTGTAATTTCGCAAATGCGACACCGTCCTTGCTTCCGAAACCCATCGGGGGTTCACCTCGGGAAGCCTCCAAGTCGACGGTGTGTGCCCACGTCCGAGCTCCGCAGGCTGCTCAATTTTGCACGCCGCGCGGACAGCGCGACTTGAAGTGGCCTGAGGTGTGGTCTGTAGCAGCCGGTTTCCCGAACATGAGCTGTGTCCACTCTGCTCCGTATCCGCGCGACCACGCCCAGAGCCAGGCCGCCGATCGGAGCGCGCGCGGCTTCAAACCACCATGCGGTAAGGGGGACCTGGTACGGTCTTGACACCACATCTCACATGGGGAGCCCACCAGTCGCCCCCAGTTCCTCGCAGGCCATGAGAAGGAGCCTTTCAGTAGAGCTTTCTAACTTCAGAGTTGCTACATGGCAACAGAAGCAGACAACATCATTACGGGCCATGTGGTGCGCCGTTGCAATGCTCAAAGTGCATCTGGACATCTCCCTTCAACGCTGGCCACGCTTGCAGAGGCTAGAGTGGGAGCCCTGGGACTCACGGCTGAACCTCCTCCTGGGGCCTCGCATTCCACAGCTAGTGGCTCACATTTGAATGAGGCACATCCCCGTCCAAAGTGGGACCTACGAACCTCTCGGGCGGGGTCTTGGCAGCATTTCTGTGCATTTCATGGCCTTTGCGGCTTTGGCATCAGCCTGCTTGCACGCTTAAAGGTGCCACACAATGCACCAAGGTTGACCGGCACCGCTTGGATCCGAACTTTGCCTGAGGAGTCAACCTCAGTCATGCCACTTAAATCCGCTGGCCTGACAGAAGTCCCGACCGCAACCGAACCCGCCACGTTGAAGTGCGGGTGAGGCAAGGTACGATTGCGGGCCAATGCAGCATGCGTATTCAAAGCCTGGCCAGATCCGCGGCAAGGAACAACCAGTGCTGATTCTGGTGATTTCACGACCACCAGGACATGAAGGTCTTATACAGTTCCCAATGCCAAACCTCGAGTTCGCACAATGTTGCATCGGTGTTCAGCCAGCTTGTTACGATCCGCCTCCCTGCGCCAGGAGATCCCCTGTTCACCGCCATGCCGAGCCACGTCAGACCACCAACGGGGTCCCACGTTCCAGGAGCGGTGGTGCGATCAAGACTCAATGCGCACTCGTGCTTGCAGCGCACCGAGGTCATCCACATATGAAGGAGGTCCGACCAGGACATCCACGGGAGGCCCTTCCTGTCGCATCCGTGAAGACACCTGCATCCAAAGCCAGGCCTTCCATAAAGCAATTTTCGGACAACCGCTCGTGTACTCGCGCCAACGAGGGCGCGAGCAGCAAGTCTGCTGGCGGCATTCCAGGCCAAGTGGAAGTCGTCGCTCGAGCGACTCTCGCGGGCGAGGTTCCCGCGCCGTCGCCCCCGCGTTCAGTGCCACGCCCTCCGCGGCCTCCTCGTAGCGTACCTTTGCGCTGACCTTCGTCAGGTGCTGGACCCAAACCCCGCCCCTCTGCTTGAGGCATTTCCTTCGGCGTGATCCTTTCGTCCTCGATCTCTTCTGCCCGTCGATTCCTCCCAGGCCTAAGTAGTGCAAGAATTAGCAGTGAGTTTCCCGGAACAGCCCCTTGCTGCTGAAATTGACGTGTCCCTCATTTTCGCCAAGTTTACTTGTCTGGAGCCACCGTCTTCACAGAGTCGTGAGCTTCAAGAACGCACCAGACCCGTTTCCAAATCTCACACTGTTCAGAAGCAGAGTCAGGCAAGAGATGTTATCTCAGTGTCGCTACACAACTGCTCTCCGTGCACAAGGCTCGCGGCACCACGTTCAGTAGCCTCCTTGAGCCATGAATGCCATCGGACGCACGTGTACCTCTCTCACGCGCGCATCCGCACAGAAAGGTAGCGGCGGTATTATCTACGGCGACGGTAGCAGTAATTGACAACCGTCATTCTCAGGGGAGGAGGAGCAGAAGCAGGAGGAGGAGGAGGAGGAGGAGGAGGAGGAGAAGGGGGAAGAGTGGGTGGTGGATTCTGGGGAAGCGAGGAGGAGGAGAAGGAGGAGGAGGAGGAAGTGGAGGAGGAAGCAGAGGAGGAGGAGCAGGAGGATGAGGAGGAGGAAGAGGCTTGTGATGATCAAGTAGAGGAGCAGCAGGAGGATCAGGAGGACGGGGACAACTACAACATTCACTCGAACGCGACTCTGGGACCTCCCAGAAGGTCCATCCAGGCATGTTTTTCGACTCGACTCGCTTCTGGCCGTGGCCACAAGAGCTTTCAGAGGCGGCCCGAACGCTTCCGATGCGACGACGTCGAACCTCAGACCTCGACCCTAGGTAGGGGGGAGGCAGGACGGAGGACAGCCCTCCTTCCCTCGTGTGGCCCCTCCCCCCCCGCCCCGCCGCCCCTGCGTGCCCCGCGACGACAGCAACGATGTCGACGATCGCGACCCCGACGGCGGTGGCGCCCAGCAGGTCGGGCGACGTCATCATCTGGCAGCCCTCTTCGACGAGGCCGCCCCCGCGCGGTCTGGGTGGGCGCGGCCTGCGGCCGTCGTCTTCGTCGCCGTCGTGGTGGTGGTGCTGGTGATCGTCGTCGTCGTCGTCGTCTTCGTCGTCGTCGTCGT